AGCTATTGACGCATCAGCGTGTCTCTAAAGCCTCATATCGTTCACTTTGGTGATGGGTTTAGATGTTTCGCAAGTGCCATAAGCATCAGGAGAGATTGTGTGTCCTTAGGATGACCTGGAAATGAGTGATAAAATGTAAATATATATAAGGTTCGTATTGCATGAACAGCTACGATGGTAGGATCAAATCGAGTATATGTCGAAAGAACGTATATGAACGGTAATGAACGACAAGAAGTGGAAAGAGTAGAACACAACGGACTAAGTACAGAAAAGTTCATTCAAAATATATTGTTTGTATGGCGATTTTTTTCTCCGTGATGGATGGTTTGGTCGTGGTCACAAACATTCGAAGAAACTCCACATATAAAAAAATCTATCAAAGACCGCGCAGCACTTAAATAAACCAGAGTTGGCTATAACAAACCTCCGTGAATTTCGCATTCGATGGAAAATTCTGAGCATCGTGAATGTCTCCCGACGTTTAAGAAAGACGCATAAAAGAAAGGAAGAGGAAACTGAGGTATATAGGATACTGAAAGCCAAAGATATTAAACATGCCGATATATATATATCGGTTCGAGTTGCCACGCATGGTTCTCCAAGTTGAAAGAAGAATTCCGACACCTCTTGGTGAAAGCCGAGATCCTTATGAGGTCACGAGGTCGACGCCTTTTCTTACAACGATAACAACGATTAATGTATGTAAATGGAATGTCCGGAAAATATGGGAGACCGAAAGGACCTATCAAATAGCAGTGAAAATGAAAAGATACAAATAAACGGTGTTCGGAATCAATGAAACCCATCAAACCCGAGCTGGACAGCAAACGTTGTACTCTGGTGACAAAGAAAAACATGTTTCGCACACACGAGCAGCTGCACTGATGCTTTCCAAAGAGGCACGAATAGCACTAATAAAATGAGAATCTCATGAATCCAGGATCATCAAAGCAATATTATGCCCCCACCAATTATAGCAATGACGATGATAAAGATCGGTTCTACAGGAGGCTGCAATCGATCGCAAAGAAACGCACAGAAAAGAACCTGAACATTCTGATGAGAGACTTAAATGTTAAAGTTGGAGTGGACGACACCAGGTGTGAAGATATCATGAGACGACATGGACTAACTAGGACAAACGGACGAGAATGGTGAGAAACTTGCAAATCTATGTGCATTCAACAAATTGGTTATAGGTAGTACAACATTCCCACACAAACACACGCACAAAGCTACATGGATCTCACTGGACCACACTACAGAGAACTAGATCGGGGTGACTAAAACATTTCAGAAAGACAATCGAAGATGTGAGAACCAGGAGAGAAGTTGACATAGCTTCAGATCACCACCTGGCCGTGGCTAAGATGAGACTGATGCTAAAGAAGCACCGGAAAACTGGATAAGCAGCACTAAAAAGACTTCATACAGCCTTCCTTTGAGATACAAGCTCGACGAATTCAAGACAGCTCTCATCAATAATTTTCGAGCCTTGGAAGAATTACTCGAAGAGTGAGAAACTACTATGGAAGACAACAGGAGAGGAACCAAAGAAGCGTTAACTTTAATGTGTCAGGGGGTTCTGGGCCGCAACAAGCACCATCATAAGGAATAGATCTCCATTGAAACCCTGAGAATCAGGAAAGGTTTTCAACAGTGCGTTGCTGAACCACATGAAAGATTTTGGTGAATGTCCAACTTCGAGATCAGCAAGCTGGATTCCGTAAGGATCGGTCGTGCACAGACCAAATCACGACACTACGGGTCATTGTTGAACAATCAGTTGAACGGGACTCATCACTATACATCAACTTCATTGATTATGAGAAAGTATTTGACAGTGTGAATAGGAGAACGTTATAAAAAATTTTCGACATTATGGTGTACCTGAGAAGATCGTAAACATCACACGGAATTAATACGGCGGACTACTCTGCAAAGTCCTGCATAGAAGACAGCTGACAGATACATTCCAAGTTAGGACTGTTATCAGGCTGCTTACTTTCACTCTTTCTCTTTCTTCTGGTGGTTGACTGGATAATGAAGACCCCCACGTCCCAGAAGAAACACGGAATACAATGGACAGCTTGCATATAGCTACGCGATTTGGACTTCGCAGATGACATAGCCTTTCTACTCCACACACATCAACAAATGCAGGCCAAGACAAACAGTGTAGCCGCAACCAATATCAAAGTTCAACACATACCTCGAGACAGCTTTACTGCACAGAGCTTGAACCTGGAGAACTACAACTTTCATTAAAAAGCAAAGTTCTAGGCAAGACACTCAATTTCCGTTGGTTTAATACCATCAGTAATAGAATGTTGTGCGAGGGAAAAACGAGCTTCTAAGTGAATAGGGAATTAAGAAGTCGTTAGAGATGGACGGGATATACATTGCGGAAATCACCCGAGGCAAACACTAACTTGGAATTTTGTAAGCTAAAGGAAATTCAAAAGACCAAGAAACACTGTGCACTGGCAATTGAAGGCAGACACCAAAGGGATACCCAGGACAAAGTTCGATGGAGAATTGTGGTGGGCACCCTATGTTCCATCACGAGGGTTAACAGACGATAGACTAGATTAGATTGAAGCTTTGTATACAGTAAATACTGAGACAACTGAACTCTAAATTCGAAACATTTGACTCCAGAAAAGTGAAGTTGTGTCGCGATTCGACTAGAAATTCAGATAATTAACACACCTTGATAATATATTTTTGTGGAACTGGAAGCGAAATGCACGTAAGATCTAACGGTCAATTTGTTGTAGATTGATATGACTAACAAATGGCTGAACCTCGGTTGCCAAACACAGCCAGATATGCAGAGAAATTATATGGATAGTTAGATGATAAAAAATATTGAAGCATAAAGATATCGACAATGTGGTTTACAAAAATCACAATCTTACCGGAAAACTGCAGTTCCCATTCCCTTAGGGTTTGCATTTGATCAGCAGTAAGGTCAGAAAGATCGTCATAGTCATCTTTTGTTTCGAGGTTGAAGCACGCAAGTGCTCTTGATGCATCTCTGCCGGCAAAAGCAGCATACGGTGCGCCTGGAACCATTTAACGTGGATTTCCAGCTTACCCTTGCCATAAAATCCCTGTCCTTTATTCGTGACATCGAATATTTTACCATTAACTGCGATCAATATCCTCTTATGTTCGCCACTGCCATCGAAACTCTGAAGTTCTTCTAATGTGAAATCACGTTTCCCCATTTTCGGGACTTCACATTTCTGGGATTTCTTTTTTCTTAACAGTGGCCTCAGACTTAAATAAACAAGTAAAATGCATATTAAGAACAATGTTATGTTAATAGGACACTTGACTGCATCTATCACAGCTACAACGTAATTCCCCTGCTTTGGGCCATCCTTTCCCATTGTAGGGATAACTTTTGAAATGTGTTCGTCGCTTCAAACAACAAACTTTGGTGTACCGCAACAGTTAAGTTATAAAAAGATATGAATGTCGTTCTGATATTACAGAGTCTCAAAAGAGCCTCAGTGACTGGATTTCTCTATTAAGAGACTGTTGAAATAATTTGAGAGAATCAAACGACCCTGACCCAAATATTAGGCACGAGCATGATTTGGAAGAGGTTGGAGCATTTATTCACAACAGCCTACCAGACAAATATGTCGCAGTTCAGGCGGCAAAATCGACAAAAATATGGATCTCTCACCATATAGACTTCTTAAGGTAATCCTAGGATCGGAGAAATAACGAGATCTTTTGTTAAATAGCGCTCGAAGACATGATAATACCGATATTCGAGTAGGACCTGATTTGTCACTAGAAGATAGAATAAAAAGGAAGGCGGAAACAACCGAACTAAAGGCTCGTCGCGAAATGGTGAAGAAAATCTTTGCTTAGTGGGATTTCACGTATTCAGGTGTTGGAAACGAATGCCACTAAGGCCTGTTTGGATAGATCGTCCTCCTTGGGAGCTGTATATATAAATGCTCGTAGTCTTGGAAATAAATTCCAGTGAGCCTTAGTGGACGAAACTTGGTTGGTCCATGACCGACGTACACTACTATCTAAGAAATGAAAGGGATAGAATCAGTTAAAGGATTGTGGTAATAATGAAATTTTACTGATACTTAAATGCTTCACCTTCGACTGCTAGCATGCCTTACCGAACTTGCGCCACTCTACTTCTGTTACTCGAAATTAGCAATGCAATGAAAGCTGACTCCTCTGACAGTGCAACACAACTCGTTCACGACACTTCAAGTACCAGTAGAATTTGTAGATCCTTCATTTTTTCAGTGAATATCGACCTAAAACCCTACACGGAAGGGCTCACAAATGCAGTGAGTTCAGTAAATTCTATCTCCATTTCACAACCGTCAACCGATATTTCCATCCAATCCTTCTTAAGGTTTAGTACGCACGTTTCAATACATCGTAATTCATTAGTACTGCAAGCAAAGGACAACTTTGAATGATTTACAGTGAGAAGTCTTTAAGAGGAGATATATTCGCAAAGGTCAAGACAGATTGAAGCAAAATGTAAGAGGTGTTTGAAGTTCAATAACGCCTCTACCCGTGAGACCTTTATGATCGAAACGTGCCAACTAGGTCAGATCAGAAGTAAGAAATGAATAAGTCCGACGATATATCCAGAAAGCGATTGATGTTTCATGGAGTGTTTGATCTAAGCTGGCTGGTAGTTGAAAGGGATACGTAGCACAGCACACACACACACGCGATCTAGTGTGAGTATATGACTTGGCGCCTTCAGATAGGGTGCGGCCAGTAGGACTAATGAGATCAACACTAATATCTAAGACTTATCGGACAATTTATTTTGGGGACTTATATACCACAATAGATGCATGATTTATAGGAATAGACTGAACTTTGTCCTTCTAAGCTAATCCAAGTCTGAAATATGTAGTTGACAGTCATCATAAAACATTGATCCAACGATTAATTGCAACAATACTACATACCTTTTTATCTCTTTTTGCAAACAGTAGTCGTGGTTTGGTTTTCAATATTATAGCAAATAGCATAAATGAGCAAACAAACTCGTTTGTTCTATGATATCAGCACAATTAATGAATAGATTTCAGAGAAACCAGTTGTTAACAGAAATATTTGTTGCAAGAATTTTAACAGATTAAGAGAATTAGTATCCTAAAAACTGATGTCCAATTGAATCTTTGAAAAATCAAGTGAACGATTTGTTGTCGATGCTACAGTAACCTAATGGACAACGGTGATATTAATCTTGAAGAAGGAGAGCTTGATGTAGATCTCAGCGATGAGGACGGATGCAAGTTCAAACATGAAAAGTGAGCATTAATATCGTTGACCCCAAATTTCTTCAGTGATTTAAAGAAGGAAGAGAAGCTAGATAAAGAAGTTGAAGTAAAAAAGCACAAGAAGAAAGATAAAAAGGCTAAGAAGGAAAAGAAACATAAGAAGAAAAAGAAAAAACATAGGCATGAGAACAAGGAAAAATGGTACCTTCCGCTAATCTTACTTACCTTTAGTTCTCTTAATAATGGTGATGTTGTTCAACCACCTGTGAATGAAGCAAAGTTAGAAGATCCTGGAAGCCCCAAAAAAGAAATTGATGGTGTCCCATATGTTCCAAAACGCGTTCCTATCTCTCTGGAGGAGCTGATTTTAAAAAGGAAGGCAGAAGAGGCAGAATTAATCAAACCGAAATTTATATCTAAGGAGGAACGTATTCAACAAGCCATCCAAAGAAGACAAGCTGAAGTTCAAGCTCAACGTGAAAAACAGATGGAGGCCTTCAAAAAACAGACGGAATATCTTGAAGGGGCTAAAGGTTACACGCTTATCTATTGTTATGTTTTTAGATCTGGAACGAAAGAGACGCGCCGAAGATTTTCAAGAAAGAATGAGGCAGCACCGAAACTTTAAAAATACTGGCAAACGAGCAGCTCAGGAAGAAGGTCCGGGAGATAAGGTAAACATTTCACAAGAAGAACAAGCTATCAAAGAGCGCTACTTGGGTCAGAAGCGTCTGACTAAGCGTCGACCCAGGCGACTTAATGAGAGGAAATTTGTATTTGACTGGGATGTCGCCGATGATACTAGCCAGGATTACAACCCGCTTTACAAAGAAAAGCACCAAATCCAGTTTTTTGGCCGTGGACATATTGGTGGTATTGATATTAAGGTAATGAAGTGTTTGCATTCCTTACAATTATCAGCAACAAAAAAAGGAAATTGGACGATTTTATTCAAAGCTGTTAGAAAGCCGCCGTTCTGACACCCAGAAAGTCCAAGAAAAGTAACTGATCACTTGATTTTTTTCTTATGGTCTAGGAAACGTCTAAGTGGTGTGGCAAAGCGTGAAGCTAAGCAAAAATGGGATGACAGGCACTGGACAGAAAAGGCCCTTGATCAGATGACTGAACGCGACTGGAGAATCTTTCGCGAAGATTTTAATATATCTACCAAGGGAGGTAATATTCCAAACCCCCTCAGGTCTTGGGCGGAAATGAATGTTGCTGATGAACTTAAGGATGTAATCAAAAAGGTATAGATGTTAACTCAGTTTCATGTACCCTTTAGGTTGGTTATCCTGAACCAACACCAATTCAACGCCAAGCAATACCAATAGGTCTGCAAAACCGTGATATTATTGGTGTTGCAGAAACAGGCTCAGGGAAAACAGCAGCTTTCCTTATACCCCTGTTGAATTGGATTCAGCGACTTCCAAAACTGGAAAGACTTGAGGTAACTTAAGCTCCTTTTTAATCAGTTATTAAAAGGACACAGAGCAAGGACCATATGCTATTATTATGGCTCCTACCAGAGAATTGGCACAGCAAATTGAGGAAGAAACAGTGAAATTCGGTCGACCACTGGGAATCAAAACTGTTTCGTTAATTGGTGGTCTCTCGCGTGAAGATCAGGCATTAAAGCTCCGAATGGGCGCAGAAATAGTTATTGGTACTCCTGGTCGTTTAAATGATGTCCTAGAAAACCGGTATATGGTACTTAACCAATGTACATACATCGTTTTGGATGAAGTAAGTACTGATATTTTATAACTTTCAAAGTAGGACAGTTTTTGGCTTTTTTGTTATTGATTGATTGTCGAGTAGATGTTAAATTAACGCCTGTCACCCCTCAGTGAGGAGCATAAGCCGCTTACCAGCACTCTCCATCCAACCCTGTCCCGGGCAATCCTTTCTAGTTGATACTTATTTTTTTCGTGTCTGCTTCCAATTCCCGACGTAGTGTGTTCCTTGACCTTCATCCTTTCCCTTTACTTTCAGGGTTCCAAGTTAGCACTTGCTTCACGGTGCAGTTTGATGATCTCATCAATATATGCCCTATCCACTTCCAACGCCTTTTTCTAATTTCCTCCTCAGCTAGAAGCTGGTTTGTTCTCTCTCATAGTGGACTGTTGCTGATTGTATCCGGCCGACGGACATTCAGTATCTTACGTAAACAATTGTTTATAAATACTACTTGTAGTAGTTCTCCAAGTTTCAGCTCCGTACAGTAGAACTGTCTTGACTTTCGCATTGAAGACCAATATTGGTTGACAGTTGTTTTGAGTTTCATATGTTCTTCAACTGTAGGAATGTTGTCCTTGTTCTTCCAATTCTCGCCTTTACACCTGCATCTAATCCTCCACGTTCATCAATGATGCCTCTTCCAGAGTTTCTCCATCAAGTGTGATTGGGTTGTTCTCTGTGTTATATTTGCGGACCTTGGTTTTCCCCTTATGTGTGCTGAGGCCTACTTTTGCAGAGATTGGTGCTGCAGTGTTTGTCTTGGCCTGCATTTGTTGATGTGTGTGGAGTAGAAAGGCTATGTCATCTGCGAAGTCCAAATCGCGTAGCTATATGCAAGCTGTCCATTGTATTCCGTGTTTCTTCTGGGACGTGGGGGTCTTCATTATCCAGTCAACCACCAGAAGAAAGAGAAAGAGTGAAAGTAAGCAGCCTGATAACAGTCCTAACTTGGAATGTATCTGTCAGCTGTCTTCTATGCAGGACTTTGCAGAGTAGTCCGCCGTATTAATTCCGTGTGATGTTTACGATCTTCTCAGGTACACCATAATGTCGAAAATTTTTTATAACGTTCTCCTATTCACACTGTCAAATACTTTCTCATAATCAATGAAGTTGATGTATAGTGATGAGTCCCGTTCAACTGATTGTTCAACAATGACCCGTAGTTTATTTATTTATTTATTTATTTAAACACATAAATATTGGTACAGGGGGGCACCAAATATATATGCGCCACACAAAACAATGAGAATTTAAAGAGAAAGGAAAAAGAAAGGCAAGGAACGTAGGGAATATCTATATTAAAAAATGGGGGAAACGAAAAGGCACAATCAAAATAAATCTTTCAGTTAAAGAAGAAGCAACCGCTTTTTACGAAGAAAGTAAAAGAAGGTTACAGCAGGATCGCCACTGGCTTCTATTCTGAGCCATATCTGGTAACGTCTCTAGCCACTGTGTCGCACCATCTCTCAGACCCCAGCCAGGGAGTCGTGAATGACCAACAGGAGCCAGTTCTCTACAGCTTTCTTTCATACCACGACACCATGTCATACACTGACCACCTCTCCGCTTTTTCCAACCAGTCCCAGAGTCGGCAAATAATGCACGACGTGGAATCCTCTGGGACGACATTCGTAGAACATGTTCACGCCACCGAAGTCGATGTTTCAAGATGGTGACACCAATTTCATTATCGTCTCTGTGCCCGAACACACGATGCCGAACCACTGCATTACTAACATGGTGTTGCCACTGAATGTCAGCAATCCTTCGGAGACAGTGATGATCGAACACAGAGAGTCGTCTAACATCCTCAACTTGCAGAGGCCAGGTTTCTCAAGCATAGAGCAGAACTGCTCTCACCGACGCGTTGTAGATCCGACCTTTTACAGTCAGACTAACATCACGAAGGCGTTAAAGATGGCCCAGATTGGCATAAGCCGCTCTGGCTTTCACTATACGTCAATTAATCTCATCACTCACGCCACCACCAGCACTTATACAGCTACCTAGATACACGAACTTCTTGACTACTTCTATATGCTCACCATCCAGGGTGAGTACAGGATTAGGTTCCTGCCAGTCTTGTAGAAGTACTTTGCACTTCGAAGGTGCAAAGCACACAACATACCTACGGACACTGATTGCCAACTGATTAAGTGCGGATTGCATAGCTTGGGCATTTTCGCACAGTAAGACAATACCATCCGCATACTCAAGGTCGAGAAGTCTTTCTCCAGGCAAAAGATCCACACCACCATTACTTATATCCATCAGAGCTGTTTCCAGAATGTCATCGATGGCAAAGTTGAAGAGGAATGGTGAGATTGGGCAACCCTGCCTAACCCCACTGCTTGAATGGAATAATGGAGAAAGTTGGTTGTATGCTCTCACTCTGCCTGAGGTGTTTGTGTATAGGGCTTTTAGGATGTTAATAAACTTCTCAGGCACACCCTTCTTCAATAGACAATCCCAGAGAACAGTTCTGTCCAACGAATCGAAGGCAGCTCTGATGTCAAGAAACACTACGATTGTTGGCCTTTGATAAGTGTGGCGGTGTTCTATCATTTAGCGGAGGGTGAAGATATGATCAATACATCCTCGATCGGAACGAAACCCAGCCTGCTCCTCGCGAGTCAATCTTTCTCGAGTTTTGAACAACCTACGAAGTATAACGGAAGCCAATAGCTTGGACGCAATCGGAAGTAGACTTATGCCCCGATAGTTGTTACAGAAACGACGTGAACCCTTTTTAAAGATAGGGACGACTATCGACTCATTCCATGAGTTTGGTACACTCTCTAGTTCCCAGACCTTTGTAAACAACGTCGTCAGTCCCTTAGTCAGAAAGTCACCACCATCTTTAAAGAGCCGGAGGTAAGTCATCTGGGCCCGGTGATTTGTAACGTTTCAAGAGTTGGAGTTCCTTGCGGACTTCCGCCTCATTTGGTGGATCAGTCTTCACCGGCCATGGAGGGTGGGACAGTCTGACCGATGTTGCCGGAGCAGCAGGCCAGTTGAACTGCCCTTCGAAAAATTCTGCCCATCGTCCAAGACGTCGATGGATGTTAGTGATTGGCGTTCCGTCATCCTCGTAGATTGTTTCGCTCACACCAGACTTGTTGCTGCCAGTGGCTCGGATGAGTTGGAAGAGCTTCCGGTAATTACCAGATGCGGCTGCTGCTTCCAGCTCACTAGCACGCTCCGACCACCGGGTTTCTCGGTCCTTACGCAAGCTTTGACCAATTTCAGTATGTAACATTCTTCGTTTGTGGTCATACTCACGATCACTCGGAGTAGACCGACGGGCTTCAATGAGTTGTAAGAAACCAGAAGAAACCCAGTGCTTATAAGCGGGACGTTTCGCGAACCCACAACTGACTTGACCCGCCATCTTCATGGCGTCATGCAATTGCAGCCAATGCTTATCTATACTTTTCGGTGGAATGGTAGCTAGCCTAGAAGCTAGCTCGATTCAATACTTACTAGCAACAGAAGTTGCAACCAGCTTGCTAACATCAATCCTTTGGTGGCGGTCACTTCGTTGTCAACTGAAAAGTAAGGTAAGATTGGCGCAGACCAGGGCATGATCAGATTCCAGATAGGTACTCCAAAAGGAGCGGCAGTCTTGTACACAACCACGCCAGCGGTAGCTGATCGCGATGTAATCAATCTGAGTCCAGGCTTGAGATGCAGAAAGAGGACGCCAGGTGGCACATCGGCGATGACTGTGTCGAAAGTTAGTGCTAGCCAGAAACAGGTTGTGGTCTGTGCACAGTTGCAGTAGACGTTCCCCGTTATCTGTCCTGCGACCAACAAGTCCCCATCGGCCACCTAAATGACTCTTCTGTGCCTAGACGCCCGACCTGAGCATTCAAGTCTCCGGCTAGTACTACAATATCTGTCGAACGCACTTTCTGGAGAGGAGTTAACTGGTGGTAGAACTCATCCTTGATTGCATCTGGGCTGCAATCTGTCGGGGCATAGGCGGAGATGACAAAAAGACATCGTTTCTCACGCCGATTTTTTCTCACTTTGATGGTACTTTCTAATCTAACAGCACATAACCGACTGTTAATGGGAATTCAGTCGATTAGTGCTGCCTCAGCTCTAGCGCTTAGTGCGACATCAACGCCAGCAAGACCGGACGAAGATGCCACAGTGTCCCCGGATAAACGCACGTAGAACAAGCTTTTTGAAGTGACAGATGGAGAACAAATTTGTAGTGCTTCACCAGAGTCTTGAATATGGGTCTCGGATAGACAACACACGTCAATATTAAGACTTTCCAAAGACATAGCCAGCCCCATCTGTTGTCCGACCTGCATAAGTGTGCGAACGTTAAAGGCAGCCAGTTTGAATGGTGCACGTGGTTTCAGAAAAACTGCTTCAGTACTCGTATTCGGTGGTAACATACAATTTTCAACCAGGCAGTGACACGAGAACGTTTAGATAGAGCCGAATGTCCACCATAGGCGAGCTGCTGTATAAGTCGAAAAATAAGGATAGACAGAGTGGGAATGAGAGTGAGTAAATGACGTGGTAAATAATAATAATAATAATGTGAATTGTTTGACAGTAAATCGCAGCGAGAATAGTTTTCAGTGAATGTCATAATTTTCATTATCATTATATTTGTGCGCAGGCTGAGATACTGCCCGGGTGCCCAAACCGAAGCATGTGATTTCCTTAGGGGGCCACACCCCGAGCCTTTGACCTAGAGGTCTAGTCCACAAGGCAGTGGAGCATCGTGAGGAGATGCAGTCCCATGGAAGCCGGTGACCAAGAAATTGGTTCATACGCCATTTGTTCCCTCAGGATACTGGAGCCCATGTGCACCATTGATTTATGATCCGGTTATAGAGCCGGACGTTCGCTTTTCGTCCTCTCATTTTCGTAAACAACACCCCCTCCACGAGAAGGCAGTGAGTAGGACTTCCCTGGCAAAGGCTATATACGCGTGACCGTGTGAGAGTATTTCGAGAGGGAGGGAGAACCCACCCCACTCTCGGCCATACCAGGGCATTTGGGGGCATGACCCGTAGTGTCGTGATTTATTCTGTGCACGAGCGATCCTTACGGAATCCAGCTTGCTGATCTCGAAGTTGGACATTCACCAAAATCTTTCATGTGGTTCAGCACAATCGCATATATGACGGAAAATCAATAATAATAAATTAAATGCACAGTTAGTAGATACACAGATTTCAGGTTTCATCTCACAGAAATCTCGCTTTTGTTATAGGAATTTCAGCATAATGAGGTTGATGTCGACAAATTTTATAAAAACAACCAGGCACTTTCATCTAAAGTATCGGAGTCAATTCAGTGTTCCTAATTGTTGGTGTTAGATTGAAACATATAAATTGATATACCATAATATGTGCCTTCGCTATCTGATTGTAAATGTTTATGAATTATATTTATTTCTGACGTTTTCAAATTAACAGGCTGATAAAATGATTGATATGGGTTTTGAACCTGAAGTCAACAATATTCTCACATATTTACCAGTTACAAATGAAAAACCTGATAATGAAGATGCTGAGGATGATTCGAAGCTATTAAGCAATTTCGCAACAAAACATAAGTATCGTCAGACGGTCATGTTCACAGCGACCATGCCTCCAGCAGTTGAACGTCTCGCTCGTTCCTATTTAAGGCGACCTGCAATGGTGTATATTGGAAGTGCTGGTAAACCCACAGAACGAGTGGAACAGATTGTTTATATGGTTTCAGAACAAGAGAAGAGGTAGTTTTTTCATACTGATAATAATCAAATGTTTATAGCTAAGTCGAATTCCTTTTGGTTATAAATTTAAATATTCCAAAACTAACGAATCTGACACCTCTTTTACTTACATGCTCCAGATTATCATTGTTTATTTTCTACATTGGTTTTCGGTAGTGTTGCGAATCATTAATACAATTGATTTATTGCAACTGGCACTTATGAAACCATATTTATTGGAAATTTAGTCTTAATATACTGTGTTCGCTCTTATTTATAAGAAACGATTTTAGTCACGTCGATAATTCTTGTGGAGAACTGACTGCTAGGCCAGAGGCGGATTCAATCTATTTCTATTGAATACAATAAAACTAGTAACTTAATCAATAACGAGTATATTAATCTTCACGGCTTCATTGTCTCTATATGTGTGATGAGTGCTGAAGGTGGGGACTTTCATCTTAACATCTCTTGTCCTGTTGACATAATTCGTTAAGGAGCTCGATACCTGTATTTCGATTTATTGAAAGAAAAGTGCAGTGTCCTAATCGATTAAAAGTACATATATACTTTCTGCCTCCATTGAAATATAAAATGTTGTTTCAGGATTGTTCTGCATGAACTTATGGTAGGAAGTGGAGTTGTTGAGCGCATCGACCACTTCGTAAAGATTTCATCACCTCTTGTGGGTTTGTAGCTGAAGAAACAATATTTAGACAAAAGTATCACATAATATCGACTTACATTTTGAGGTTTATAAGAAATAGCTTCTGAACAATTTTTATCAACGGATTCCCGATGTCTTTATGCGTGTCCTTAGATCTATTTTTTTCATTTAAACGTGAGTTATACAAATTGTTTTTAGAAACTAAGTATCTCAATATGCAAGTTCTTGTAGGCCTAAAACTTGGATTATTTAGTCTGTTGCTAAATCTAGAGCTTTATCCACGAACACCTTAACATCAAAATTACTTAAATTTCATTCTTGCAGGAGAAAACTATTAGAAATACTTGCTGCAGGACTTGATCCACCTGTAATCATTTTTGTCAATCAGAAAAAAGGCGCAGATGTACTTGCTAAAGGACTAGAAAAACTTGGATACAGTGCTGTTGTTTTACATGGTGGCAAAGGACAGGAACAAAGAGAATATGCCTTGGCAAGTTTAAAGTCTGGTCAAAAGGAAATCTTGGTTGCAACTGATGTTGCCGGTCGTGGTATTGATATAAAGGATGTGTCAATGGTTATAAACTATGACATGTCTAAAACTATTGATGGTAAGCTAATAAGTCTTTCGCTATTTACTTAGATTATTTATTTATTTATTTAAACACAGTCGTTCATACAAGGAGGCATCAAATATATATGGGGCACACAAGTCATTTGATTTGTATGAGGGCTGGGCGCCCAAAGCAAGTGGTTTTCTCAAGGGGCTATTCTTCGAGCCTTTGACCTAAAGGTCTAATGTACAAGGCAGTGGAGCGGCGTAAGGAAATGCAGTTTCATGTTAGTCGGTGACCAACAATAGGTTCTCATACGCTTTTTGTTTCCTCAAAATCCTTGAGCGCACATGCACCATTGGTTTGAAATCAGGGCTTTCCAACCCCCCTATATGGGTCCTTCGTATCCACCAACCTGGTTAAGGCACCGGAGGTCTGCTTTTCGTCCTCTAACTTTTGTAAACGTACCCCTTGGCTCGAGAAGGTAGTATGACTTCCCTGACAGTGGCCTTATACGCGTGGCCATATGAGGACATTTTGCGAGGGAAAGCAGTCTCCCCACTCATGGTCGTATCAGGGAATTTGGGTGCATTTACTTAGATGCGGTCTGTACTCGATATAATAGTGGTATTTAAATTAATTAGTTGTCTTAACTTTCAATCGTAAAGTCATATAAGCCGGAGATACATTTTATCGTTGACAGATCACTTTTTTGGTGTCAAAACATTGTATAGAAATTTTTCTGTATACTGTATCAAAGGGTGTTATGGTACAAACATAAGCTAAACATTCTTTGCAGATATCACATATTTAGTGATTTTGAATGGTGGGCTTTAAGCTCAACAAGACAGTCATTCAGGGATCCTTATAATCTGAGTGAAATAACTTTGATATTTATGATGACACCATAGCTTTGTCTTCTTAGAAAACCTTTGTGTTACATGTCTCAATGATCTGGTCAGTTTCGTCCTTCTTCTTTCTCGAATTATTGTTGACAGTGTGTATGACCTCAAATTTACCTTCTCTGTAACTAAATGAAGGGACTGTCCAATACACTTGTGTGACTTTTGGACATACATTTCTTGCTCATTCATGCTAAATATATCTAAATCCCTAATTGAAGTGTTTGTGCAATTTTTCACATGAACTCAGCATAAGTAACTTTGATTAATGATTGGTAAGTTTTACATTGCGTATTCTTTCTCTGCTTAGAATATGTACATCGTATTGGGCGTACCGGACGTGCTGGTAAATCTGGTATTGCAATCTCACTACTTACGAAAGAAGATGCCCCTGTATTTTATGATTTAAAACAGTTATTAATTCAATCTCCTGTGTCAACATGTCCTCACGAACTCGCCAATCATCCGGATGCTCAAACAAAGCCAGGTATACTAGCTGCAAAAAAACGACGCGCAGAAGAGACAGTTTACATTACATAAAGAAATAGACTTAATTTTCATTGTTTGCAATTTTTATGCTGGTTTGTAAATACAGAGTATAGTCCAACAAGTATTCATTCCATCCTATCGTTTTTGTACGTTAGTTCCACTTTTTCAGTGTGTTTGTACATAAAAGCATAAATTTTTGATAAAAAGCTCTGACACTTGTTGTTTTTTGTCAACTAATGGTGGGTCCCTTAATATTTTCTAGCTGCAGAAAGGCATATTTAAAGTTAACGCTTGATGTAGTTTTCAGCACGTGCTAATAATACTCAAAATATCAACTCACCAGTTGTTTAACGTCAGTGGTATTACATACCCATAAAAGGGAAATAGATAGTCGAACGCTATACATTGGATCATTATCCGCAACCTAACTGGAAACGGTTAGCCAGCGACTCTGTTCGTGTCCAGCATTTCGGCAGTGTCCTTTTCGAGTAAAGAATAACCGTTTTTTTTTACAAAGTTGTCTTTCTGTTCACTTTTCAATCGTCAGCATACTTCCTTAAAAAGAGGACAATATTTTTTGGAAGCTTGTAACTGGTCTCATATAGACTATTCTTAAACCCTGTGATAGCAAAACTAACCATTCTAATATAATTGGAGAATATAATATTTACACTCTGAACGTACAGGTCATCGGCGTATTTATATACCTAGTGATCATTTCTTCTATCGCAAAATTTCAGTCATAGGGTTATCGTCTCCGAAGGATTGCTAGCATCCAGTGGCAACACCATGTTAGTAATGCAGTGGTTCGGCATCGTGTGTTCGGGCACAGAGACGATAATGAAATTGGTGTCACCATCTTGAAACATCGACTTCGGTGGCGTGAACATGTTCTACGAATGTCGTCCCAGAGGATTCCACGTCGTGCATTATTTGCCGACTCTGGGACTGGTTGGAAAAAGCGGAGAGGTGGTCAGTGTATGACATGGTGTCGTGATATGAAAGAAAGCTGTAGAGAACTGGCTCCTGTTGGTCATTCACGACTCCCTGGCTGGGGTCTGAGAGATGGTGCGACACAGTGGCTAGAGACGTTACCAGATATGGCTCAGAATAGAAGCCAGTGGCGATCCTGCTGTAACCTTCTTTTACTTTCTTCGTAAAAAGCGGTTGCTTCTTCTTAAACTGAAAGATTATTCTGATTGTACCTTTCCGTTTCCCCTATCATTATTATTATATTTGGTGCCCTTTTGTACCAATATTTATGTGTTCAAATAAAATAATAATAATAATTAGAATCATGGTTGTTGAATTTAACTACATATCGCAAAGTGTTGACTCCTGATAATTGCCTTCCCAAAAAATAAGACTTAAAAATGTATCGATGCTTGTTTACATTTCCGACTAATTAGCTAATCTCAATTTATTAAATCTTTGTAAAGAACAATAGCAACACATTAAGGGAAATGTTAAAATTTTAAGTACAACGATGAGCATAAATATTGAATTAGTTAATACCGTCTGTTAAGTGCTTAATGCTTGACATTTAAAAATGAAGCGGTATTTGATAGAAAAATTGGGAAAATTATATCAACCTTGGTGTTTATAGATGTGAAGTGTTTGTGTCTGATATATGGAGATTTGTGTTTACGTCATGGACTGATTTCTGAATCATCATTTACATTCGAGTCAACTAATCTTAAGCCTGATCGGTTTTTTCAAACAAGGTTTAACAAACCAAACTTTTCACAACTATTAACGATGGAATGTATATTGTCATTATGTAAAGAGATAACACAGGTTTACTCTCGATTATATATGCCGGAATCCATGGATAGATGTTAACAACTAAGACGAAAACTGTCCAATCAAATCGATTCACAAGACTGGATTTCTTATAATATTATTTATACTACTTAAAGTAAACAAATTCTTTATGTGAATATACTGGGTACTATATATACTTATCCACAACCACGTAACAATGATTTTAACGTGTGGCTGGATATCTTGCTTGTTTGAGGTCAAGCTTATCAATGGCATGACTGGAATTGTGCTAAGAAGGAAGTATACATCAAACTTCTTAAAGCAGACAAATTAAATAGGAAGTGCCACTACACAAAATTAGGTTGATTTCTATTTACTCGTCATCTGACAGGTGTCAGATGAGTTATATATTCCCTTATCCTTATTATTATTACGACTCATTGATTGTTCATGGTAGTTGGATTGTGTCGGGTTTTGGTGTGGAAGTATATTTACGTTGTGGTCAGGCTAATCACATGTTCTTGAAGTCCTGTAGAATAGACACTGGGAGGGAATCTAGTGTAGATAATCGTTTAAGATAAATTCACGTTCCATACGTGGAAACTCAACCGTTAAAACAGACGAAGTAAGACCGAGCGTTATAACACACATAGTTTATTTTAGATTGCTGTACAATATCATTAGATGTCTGACACTTAAACACAAAAAAGAGTAAAATATTGTAGACATATTATGTATAGTGTGTTATATCGTACCTAAAACAGAAAATATTAATCATTTTCTTTAAAGTCACGTTAATAAAAATGGAAACGAGGTTTTTTTCAGATATTAGTGATCCACATAATCGCATATTTTCCTATTTCTGATTGTACCGGTCATCGCTTTATAAAATATGAGTAGGTCTGAATCATCTCAATCGGTAGAATATTGGAGATATGATGCTTTGCAACTAGTGTAGGTTATTTACTCAGTAAATAAATAACTTCAAATTAATACAAATTTAGTTAGCAGAAAAAGCAAATATTTAGTACATAGACTTAGGTGTTGTGGTGTGGGCTACTGATGTCAACAGATAAAAGTAATATGTATCGCTAATCGAAAGTGTAATGCTTGGCGGCAGAAAGTTGAGAAAATCGAAGAGAAGACAACGAGAACAGAGAGTGATTAGTATGGAAACGAAGGAACAACAAGGTTTGAGATAATTGATGGATATTTTGTAAATGAAGTATTACTGTATGTTTCTCAGATTTTTATAAACGATTCTGTAATTCTGCTCTTCAATACATTTGGTTGTAATCGCTTGTGTTCTCGTACACTACATATGACCATAAAAAATCCTCTTTATTTACATTAAGGGTGATTCCATAACAGGTAAGTCTCTCGTGTTCACATACATCATATATTTCTTCTTACATAACTACTATTATTAACTAATTTACCAACCTGATTTTCCAATTCTGTTGCAAGCTTTTTGTAAACTGTTTCAACTTACTTGTCCAATAATAATTTCGAACATTAAAATCACCCGATTTCTCTGCCTTAAAAATATCTGGAATCATTATTAACTCAACTTTTAACACTGCTAACTGACTAGCGATATTTGATTGGTATGAGATATATAAAAATTTATTATTATTTACTTACTTGCTTTACTTACTCCTGTCAAACCTCAGGGAGGAGCATAAGCCGCCTACCAGCTGAGACCTATTTTGCAGAGACTGGTGCTGCAGTGTTTGTCTTGGCCTGCATTTGTTGATGTGTGTGGAGTAGAAAGGCTATGTCATCTGCGAAGTCCAAATCGCGTAGCTATATGCAAGCTGTCCATTGTATTCCGTGTTTCTTCTGGGACGTGGGGGTCTTCATTATCCAGTCAACCACCAGAAGAAAGAGAAAGAGTGAAAGTAAGCAGCCTGATAACAGTCCTAACTTGGAATGTATCTGTCAGCTGTCTTCTATGCAGGACTTTGCAGAGTAGTCCGCCGTATTAATTCCGTGTGATGTTTACGATCTTCTCAGGTACACCATAATGTCGAAAATTTTTTATAACGTTCTCCTATTCACACTGTCAAATACTTTCTCATAATCAATGAAGTTGATGTATAGTGATGAGTCCCGTTCAACTGATTGTTCAACAATGACCCGTAGTGTCGTGATTTGGTCTGTGCACGACCGATCCTTACGGAATCCAGCTTGCTGATCTCGAAGTTGGACATTCACCAAAATCTTTCATGTGGTTCAGCAACGCACTGTTGAAAACCTTTCCTGATTCTCAGGGTTTCAATGGAGATCTATTCCTTATGATGGTGCTTGTTGCGGCCCAGAACCCCCTGACACATTAAAGTTAACGCTTCTTTGGTTCCTCTCCTGTTGTCTTCCATAGTAGTTTCTCACTCTTCGAGTAATTCTTCCAAGGCTCGAAAATTATTGATGAGAGCTGTCTTGAATTCGTCGAGCTTGTATCTCAAAGGAAGGCTGTATGAAGTCTTTTTAGTGCTGCTTATCCAGTTTTCCGGTGCTTCTTTAGCATCAGTCTCATCTTAGCCACGGCCAGGTGGTGATCTGAAGCTATGTCAACTTCTCTCCTGGTTCTCACATCTTCGATTGTCTTTCTGAAATGTTTTAGTCACCCCGATCTAGTTCTCTGTAGTGTGGTCCAGTGAGATCCATGTAGCTTTGTGCGTGTGTTTGTGTGGGAATGTTGTACTACCTATAACCAATTTGTTGAATGCACATAGATTTGCAAGTTTCTCACCATTCTCGTCCGTTTGTCCTAGTTAGTCCATGTCGTCTCATGATATCTTCATACCTGGTGTCGTTCATTCCGACTTTTTCGTTTGTGTCTCTTGTCATTACTGTTGTTATTTGACTGGTTCTTCCAGGCTTCGACATTTTCCGGACATTCCATTTTCTTAAATGACTTGCTGCCGTGATTGTGAGGACGGGTATCCTCCTCGCGACTTCCGATGATTCAATGTGTCATCTTTAAGCGTTTTAATTCCTACCTCAACTCCCAGATCATATTTGAGATGTTCTATGTTGGCGTTATATATATATATATATATATATATATATATATATATATATATATATATATATATATATATATATATATATATATATAAACTAGTAACACTGTTGTTTCTGATCCATATTTATGGATGAGGATAAACTTCACTCTCGTTAGCAATTTTCACTCTGTACCTGGCAACCAACCAAAGTGAAGCAGAGATTATGATTTGCGTGATGGTTATTCACGATGGAGAGAGCGTTTTCTCTGTCGTTCTGCCGGCTCACATGAAAGATGTAAAGCTTTTTACAACGAAACTACAACTCCATCATGCGACGGACGTGTCAAGTATAGCACATTCAGTCATGATGGAAGAAAAATAGCAACTTAGCAATTCATGTCTCCAATTCATTCTATGGTATAAATTATTTCAAAATATCTACAAGTGAGTGATTAGATAAACGCAAACATAACCGTAATTACTGACTACGATACACTCAGATGAATAGACAATGTGAAGTTTTCTCCCTGCCATATATAGACAGTAAACGAATAAATCTTCAGATTCTGTAATTTCCTAAATTTTGTCCATAATATTAGTACAAATAGTTGATTGTTATAATAAAGCAGAAAATAAAATGAATGAACAAAGCTTATCATAGATGATAATCAATAGTAACATTTATTAATATCTCAGAAAATCACATTTAAAGTACATACATTAAGTGTACCTACTTAGTCTAGTATAGAGAAATTTGTCCGAAAATCAATATAAAGTCATTGATTTACTCGACAAAATTTCCTTTTAATTGTTTCGACCAAATTTTTTTACGATGATGATGGCATTCATGACATATGACAGTAGCAACACTGTAGCAGGGACTCGATAATAAAAAAACCAGTCGACAAAACTAAATTCAATTATTTAGGAGTTAATTAGTTAATTTCAAAATCTTGGAGTTCTGAGTGTGATCTGATTTGTAAGAATATTTGATATGTAAGACTACACTTGTTGTTAAGTCAGCAAGATTAACGTAATATTCCTGAACAGTAAAATTAATCGGATCGACTAGTTATTTGATATAATGAGTTCAGTTGAATAATTTAATTTTTATGGTAGATATCCAAGACTTTTTATATAGGATTGTTCATTCAGTTTGTTATAATAACTATTTAGACATAGTGAAGAGACCTTACAAAAGTAATGGAGTAAACTCCCATCTTAGTCAGTTGGATATTTCATGTCCAATGCCTAACAATGATCTGTGCTAATTTATTGAAAAAGAACAGTCATTACAATAGGCAGTAACTAATCTGAATCGATAATAATACATATATCAAAGTACATATTACTTGAATATCCAATCAACTGTTGGTTCGCTTACCTGTGAATATGTCAATTTCGATATTAATAAATACTGTATCTGAAATTTCTCGTCACTGATTTGCCAAAACCGAGTTGGTTATGTTTGTTTATGTGTCATGTAAATAAAGCTGTTCGGTAACTAATTCAATTCATAAAAATGAATTGACCTTTGGACTTATGCCGATTGTTTTTCCAATCTTACATTTTTTAACTTTATTGTTAACAGTGATCATAGTTTTCAGTTGTAAACGTCAGTCACCTATTATAATAGTGAATACATGACCATTTCCAAATGCAACTGATGCTGGATGGAATATCCTTAGTTCATCGAATTCCAAAGTATGTGGTTCATCAATAGATGCTGTCGTTGCTGCATGTACAAATGCAGATGATCCAAATATTGAAAGTGTCGGTTATGGTTGTTCACTTGATGAAAATGGACACACTTTATTAGACGCAATGGTGATGGATGGTAAAACGATGGAGGTAGGCATTTACCAAAGTTTTATTTATGATAATCAAGTATATTTATTTTGCGAAGTAGATGTAAAAAATGAGCCATTAAAAGACGGTTATTCAAACCAACTATTATTAAAATGAACTAACCTTGAAAATGCCCTATAAACTTGTATATATTCGTTAGTATAATTTTTTGACTAAATTCAGTCAGTCAGCAGCAACGTAGGGCCAGAAACATATATGCATCGGTTCAAGTTTTCACACCTCATTATCATAGATGATGAACACCAAATTGCAGTCCTAAATAACAATGGGAAGATAAAAGTAAACAACACCAGGTGAATATAACTTCATCCCATTGCACAAGCAGATGGCTATCAGAACTCATTAGCTAAGTTGATAACGCTATGGCATTTGAAGCGAACGGTGCTGGATTAGAGTCCCAGAGTGAACATCAACTCTGTGATGCAGGTATATCCAGCTGACAAGTCCCAGATAGGACGAAACGCGCGTCCTGGATTCTACTGCTAGCCACTATCCATCTTTATATATATTAAAAGAAGCATTTGCCCAAAACCATAGAAAATGTCTGGTTGATGTAGAATTCAGTAAATTTGGTTAGTACATAGACCTACAAAATAACATAGTGGTTCGGACTTGGACAAGTGTATGTACATATATTGATACAAAGAAGACAAACTACTATCCTTTCATTTATTACGTAATCATGTGAATCTGAATAAAAATGAATCTACTAAATACAAGCTATATGTTTATACTGTATCATTCCGTTATCTTGGTTCAGTCTATTAAGAGATCTTTTCTATGATTTTTGAATGTATTGTTTCGTGGCAAGAACACTTACTTTGTTTCAGTCATAAAAAAAATTCTTGGGTTATATCAATAATATTTTAAAAATTACCTGCGATTTTTCTTTGTAAACTACATTTTTGTAGGCTGGTGTGGTAGCATCAATGCCTGATATTCGACAAGCATCTCAAGTAGCACGTGATATCTTATTAAGTACCCAGCATACATTACTAGTTGGGCCACTTGCAGCAGAATTCGCAAAGTCAAGAGGATATAAACCAACTTCGTTGGATACGCTTAAATCTCATGATTTATGGCTAAAATGGAAAAACAATAATTGCCACCCAAATTTTCGTAAATCATCAGATTGGATTCCAGATCCTATAATATCATGTAGACCATATAGATGGAACGTTTCTTGTAAGTAGTAATACAAAGAGTAAGATTTTGAAATGAACTGACAATCCTTATTTCAGTACTAAATAAAATATCTGTCTATAAACTAGTTGTGATATTCTCGCCAAATTGTACATATAGTTGTGTCATTTTGGTTGGTCTATACTACAACGTCGGAATGGAGAGACTTAAGGTGACTGGGGGACCTTAACGCTCTTTAATATTTAATAAAGATACATTGTTTCAATAAGGTATCTATCACTAAAGATATGTTGAAACAGATATGTAATGTTTTCGTTTAGTTTATTAGTTTCATAGACTCATATCTCGTCTTTCTAATTCCATACTTAGGTTGTGAAGTTAATGGTTCCGTCACACACAATAATTTGGCTACGATTTAAATGAGTGCCATATTGAGCTGTACTTTCAATGTTTCCAACTACATATTGGTTTCCTGAGATATCTCTAACTATTATTAACACCTTTAATAAAAAGATGTTGGTAGTGTGTATTTTATATACTTGGTAGATACATCTGCAATACAAAAATATAAGCATCCATTAAGACTTTAAATATTCTGTGTACTAATATTATATATATACGGATTATTATTCAGTATTCTGCCTAATAAACTGTTTAATTGTATGGTTTACAATATAAAGGTTTATTTTACTTTGTTCCTAACTTGTTGAGGTGAAGTTAGTTATCATTAATAATGCTGACCATAATTAAAATCAAATACAATCATTATAAGATATTAAAACTTTCCTGTCAATATTTATAGTATTTCACAGAATTTTATCTGTAACAGACATAGTTCCCTCACCAGTATTTTCATTAACTATTTTTGGTAACATTAAAATAGGGAATGATATCAGAGTATAAAAATTACTAGCATCATACAGGCGAAGTGATTATTTCAGCGAATTCTACTACTCTCAGTGATGCCATTTCCGGACATGTCTTTGTCACGGGAAATCAAGTTGTCACATTGAAATCTTTCAAGATAATTAATCGACAATTGAACTCTAATCTTTTTAAATTTACTGAAGCCATAACAATCAATCTCAGACCATATTTATATTTTTCAGAAAGAAACTGAAGAAATATTCTTATCATAACAAAATTATTGTCATTTTATTACGTCATTGTTACAGCTTTTTTTATTTTTATTTTGCTATTTCCAATTTTTTTTCAAATTCATACCTTTATTTTTCAAGTGACTGATCTTAACTCGTTATCCTTAATCATTATTAACCTGCATTCAGCTTTTCTATTACATAATCAACTGATTGTTTTACCCTATGAATTTTACTTACTATATGAATGTTCTGGAATATTCTCTCCTACATTATATTAATTTGCACGACTTTATTCTTTTCAATTTTATAAACCTTATTCGGATCGTCATTCCACCATGACGATACATATTTACATCCTAACCGCTGTTTTAGCATAAGTGTGTTAACTTTTATGATAATTGTAAAATAATACAGGTTGTAAGTAAATGATATGAACCTAACAAAATAAAATGAACTCATTTTATTCTGTTCAAAGGTCTGTTTTTGCTCTCTTCAAAATTATATGATAAGTTTTTTACGGGTTGAATATCTTAAGACAGATTTTGGACAGAAAGTTATGGAAACCCGTGCATTATTCAAATACTAACTAGGTATTCTTTATTAACGACAATTTATAATAAGAAATGATTTTACACAGCATAATAATACTTCAAATGAAATTATTTTTGAATAGAATACAATTAGGTTGATTGGAATTGTACACATCATTCACTGTCAACTGATTCAACTAGAACGATATGTCTTTAGTGAAAAAGTTGGTTATTGCGACTCACCTTTCAAGTATGCATCTGTGCCGTGCGTTTTAAGCTGGATAGTTCATTTAGGGACTACTCATTATACAAGTGTCGGAACTAAACTAGTTGAAGGAAAGGCTCCGAACCACTTGTTCAAGGCTGAATGATCTATTATGTTACTGCTTGATTTATATATGAAAAAGTAAAATCGGTAGGATGAAAATCTACCATTTATTACTAGTGTGTGTTTTGTTGCATTATTAGCTTCTATGACATTGGCTTAGATAGCTTCTCTGTATACTAGTTCTTAAAAATGTTATTTAGACAAGTAAACATGTAAAGCAATTAGTCCCTTTGATAAATTTCGATAGGGTAGTAAGAAGACGAAGATTATCACAACTATGTGATATATTAGCGTAGTCATACATACATAGGGAGGAGTAATCGTCAACCCAAAATTAGAGTGTGTGAACATGCACCTAAATGGTTGCAGAAACAAATAGAATCAAATGACCCAATAAGACTAGAGGATAAACATCCATGATCCTCTATTGCCGAACACGTAATTGAAACAGGTCATAAGTGCAAAAGGGCGTGTACTAAGGTTTATTGAAGCCTTAACCATACGAAAATTCAAAACCCCTCTGTGTATTCCAAAACATATGTTCACTAGTGACTGGCTTCAAGAGGTGTATCCTGGAGTTCTAGTGAGAAGTATTGACCAGTGGAGTTCAACCAGGTCTGTTGTGAGATAGTAACTCAGAGAAGAAAGTGGTGGAGGTGTCGCTCAATTTCGTGGACTAGTTGAAGTTAGACATTAACACCGTTGGGTGCGCGCTCAGCGTTCTAGTGGTTAAGTGCTCGCGCACAAAACCAGTAGGTCGTGGGTTCGAATCTGGCAGGGGGCGAGGTTGTGGATGCGCACTGCTGAGGAGTCCAATAATGGGATGAAAAACGGCCGTCCAGTGCTTTCAGGCTTTCCATGGTAGTCTAGCTTCAACTGACTCATGATCTTAACCATTGAAATTATTCCAAAATAGTTTGTTCTCACCTTAAACCTACCCTGATAATATTAGCTTATTAACCAAAGTGATGAGGTCTCAAATTGTTTTCACAATATTTCTTTATTATCCTTGTCTTCTCTTACCCTTCATTTCTAATCTAGCTGACCTTTAATTTTTATATATAAATGTTCTTAACAAGTATATGTGTGATCAGATTTTTCGAAATGTATTACACTAATATATCACATAGTTCTGATAATCTTCGTCTTCCTATCACACTATCGAAAGTAAACATGTATTCTTCCGATAGGTTGGTTCTCGCAAATGCTTTTGTAGAATAAAACTGATATCTATTTTTTACTTTGAAAGAATAATTACAAAATGATTTTAGTGAGCTTAGCCAAGTCCGAAATTAGGCTGTAACTGACCGATACAATTAAATGGGAATTGTACTACATCGAAAATTAACTAAAGTCGAAAATGTACGCTCACACAACCATTCCAAGTGAAGACTGGTGTCAAACAATGCTGCTTACTCTCACCTTTTCTTTTCTCTCTGGTGGTTGACTAGATTATGAAGACCACCATGGGATCCAGTGGACAGTTTGGATGTAACTAGACGATTTGGACTTCGAACATGATTTGAACCCATACACACCAACAAATGCAGATCAAGACAACCAGAGTAGCAACAGTCTCTGCATCAGTACTCCTCAACATTCACAATAGAAAGACGAAGATCCTGAAATACAACACAACGAGTACCAACCCAATCACACTTGATGGATAAGCTCTGGAAGTGTTGAAATCATTTGTGTACCTGTGCAGTATAATTGATAAACAAGAGGGATCTGATGCAGATATAAAGGCACAGATTGCCAAAGCAAGGATACCATTCTCACAATTGAAGAATATATATGGAAATCGAAACAACTGTCAGACAACATCAAAGTCAGAATTTTTAATACGAACGTCAAGACAGTTCTACTGTATGGAGCTGAAACATGGAGAACTACTACAACTGTCATCAAAAAGGTACAGGTATTTATGAACAGTTGTCTACACAAGATGCTGAATATCCGTTGACCAGAAACCATCATCAACAGCCTACTGTGAGAGAGAACAAACCAGGTTCGAACTGAGGAGTAAATTGGGAAAAGACAATAGAGGTGGATAGGATATACATTACGAAAATCATCAAACTGCATCGTGAGACAATCGCTAACTTGGAGTCCTGAAGGCAAGAGGAAATGAAGCAGTGAAAAGTACACATTGAGTTGGGAGTTGGAGTCAGACATCAAAAGGATAAGTAGCAACTGGGAAGGAGAACGCAGGACAGAGTTAGTGGATTTTCTAAAAATATGTAGGAGTAGATTTTCAGCTTTCTAACTGTTATATTCTATCCGAGTAAAGTTCTAGATTCGTTCGATTCCTTTATTGTGGTTCTGACTGTTTTGGTTGTTTGACGGTCAATTAGTTTTTTATATGGTTCATTTTCCCCTTGAATATTTCTCAGTAAAATATTCCTAATTTTAGTGTTGACCTTTTATAATGTCTATCTCGAGTTTAGATTGTTTATAGAATGCTCTTTGGGTGACTTTGAACGTTAGAGAAAAAAACTACATTTTTTACGTTTAAGTGCTGACGCATACGGATGTATGTCACTTTAACTCGGTTTTAATAACACCAAACATATTTTACATAATAACTTAAAACCAACTTATTAATTGTCTGTAGCATATTTTGTGAACCAATATAGTCCACCTAAATTTAGTTGGTCTATATCTTTCTTAATGAATTTTAGCCAATAGTCGTTTACAATTTATAAAAGATATCCTCTGTTTATTGTTGAGTCATTTTTAAGTCAACGATTTATTTGTCTATTTCAATATTTTAGAGCAATAAGATGTGTATATTTTTATGTAAACTGATATGTTTAGTCTATTCAAGTGTTCGTTCCCCTGTCTAACTAGCAAATGTTTCTAACAAAACATTGTTGGTCGGTAACAATGAATATATGTACAGAAAAACACAATTATTATTCAACGTAGGATTTTTAATTTAATGATAAATTCATTTTGATTTCTACGTCAGAAGAATTAGACGGAAGTTAAATTCCATATGGAGCTAAAAATGGTGTTCGTAAGTAGAATAACCAAGAGCCCACTAGAAGGATTATATATTGGCTATACCTGATCCTTTAAATTTAGTTAAATTGCCTTATTTATTGTGTTCTACTGTTTGAAATAATTGTTACTCAGGTTCTAATCCTGCTTGGAATAAAAGTAGTTAGTTCTTGGATATATATATATATATATATATATATATATATATATATATATATATATATATATATATTTCCATCTAGCTAACATGTTTCAGGTGGATCGATTTCCACTTATTACAGTTTTGATAGTAAATACCCCAGAAAATGTATGTATACTCGGCAATACTAAAATGAAGGTGTATCATACGGCCAAAAATTTGGAACGCACATCAGAAGAAATGATATTCATTTAGAATAGACAAAATACTGTTAACAAGTACGAGGCAAATCAATTGATTATATTTCTAATACAAT